GCCATCTCAAAGCCTACTGGAGACTGGTTTTATTTAGGCTTATATGTAACTGGTTATATGAATATATCAATGCTGGCAAAAGCCCTTCCCTTCTCAAAACTAAGCAGACTCACTTGTGTTTTAATTTGTGTTTATTAACCTGTTAAGGCAAAAGCTGAAGATAAGGTAGTGACGTCTACTTTATATATTTGGTCATAACTCTACCAATTTAATTAGAATTCCCTGTATCCAAAACACTGTCTTTTACTTATTGAAAGACAGTTTAGTGTTTATGTAAATTATCAAATAAAGAATATGTAACACTTAAAAAAAAAAAAATCGTTACCCATTGGGCCAACAGTGTCATGATGGTTAAAGGTGCTGGATTCCCACATGGCTGACCGAATTCAAGTCCTGGACCTGGTGGCTTCCTTTCTCACTTTCCCTTTTCTTTCTCTCTGCCTGTCTCTCTGTGGTCAAACTAAAAAATAATAATAACAAATGGAATTAAGTAAATAATTTAAAAAAATTGTTACCCATCACGCCATACCACATTCTCTACTTCTCTTTTTTTCCCATAGCAATTATACCTTATAACATTCCATACAGTTTATTTATATATTATGTTTATAGTAAATTTATAGAGGCTTCCTGGGGCCAGCAGGTGGTGTGATGATTAAGACATTGAACTCCCACATGGTTGACTGCAGTTTGAGTCCCAGATCTGGTGGCTTGCTTTCTCACTTTCCCTGTCTGTCTATTTCTGGTGGAATATGTGCCCTATACCAAACTTTAAAAAACAATAATAAATTTTTTTTTTAAATTTTTTAAGTAGGGGCATCATGTTGCCTTCATGGATGGAGTGCCTGCTGTGCTGAGCTCTCTGCCTCTAAATCAGGACAACTTAGAATAAAAACAGACTGCAGGGGACCAGCGGATGGTGTAATGGCTAAGTCACTGAACTCCCATGTAGTCAACCGCTGTTTAAGTCCCAGACCCAGTAGCTTAAACTCAACGCGTCCTATAACAAAAACCTCTCAAAAATAAAAATAATAATAACTCATGCCAGGCCGTGTCTGTGTGTACCTAAAATCCCAAGAGGAGACTGGAGGAGAAGGGAAAGGAATTGTGATGTGGCCATCCCTCCTGGGAGGTGATTTCTCGCTTTCTATCTCTGTCTCTCCAGCGAGTGCATGCGGCCTACAGGAAAAAAAATCTCTAAAAAAAAGAAAAAGAAAAAGAAAAAAGAAAAGGAAGAAAATCACACCAGGCACTTGTACATGCCTGCTCAAGATTTCAGGGGGGAAAGATAAGGGATGGGATTGTGGTGTGGCCATCCCCCTGAGGGATGATTTCTCACTTTCCCTCTCACTGTGTCGGTCATTCTCTCCCCCACCCCACCTTGAGCACACATTCCCTAAGACAAAAAAACTTCTTAAAAAAAAAAGTAACTAAGCTTCCTGAGGTAGGATCATTATCTGTTCATTGAAAAGTCCCAGGAACAAGGTCAGGCACATAGTAGTTACATAATAGATACCTAATATTTGATAAATTGAACCAAATAGAATTAAATCCTCCCCATAGCTCATTATTGTTATTATTCTCCTTCTCATCTTTTGGGTATCCTCAGGGAAAGAAAATCTTTTCTCCAAGAGTCTCAAGATCCTATCAGAGAGCTAGAGGGCCAGCCCTGTGGTCTGATGTTTAAGGGAGTCAGATCTCATATAGTCAACCACACGGTTTGAATCCTGGACCTGGCAGCTTGAAAAATATAGTAGGGCATGTGTCCATGGGTGCCCCAAATCCTGACAGCATGCAGAAATGGAGGAGGAATTGCAATGTAACTATGCCCCATGGGAAGGTGCTCCTCTCTCTCTCTCTTTCTCCCTTTCTCTCTCTCTCTCTCTCTCTCTCTCTCTC